CTATTTTTAGACAAACTGAGTCTGCATCTACTTTGCTGTAGCAGTGTTAAAACAGCATAAAAGCTGAAAAAAACCCAGTAAATCCACACATGTAAAATTAGTTCTGGGACCCAGTTATCAGAACCTCTTAGGTGCTGTGATTACAGAAATGCAGTACCCTCCCTGGTTTATGAGGTGCTGGGGATCAAACCCAGTAGCTCATACATGCAGGAAAAGTATTCTACCAAATATGCAACATCTCCAGCCCATCATCCCAGTTCCAAATATATTTTCTGTAGTATAATTCTCAATCTATACTTTATTAATATCTTTCTTCATCTGGTAAATAATAAATAACCATTACTATGTTCAACATTTAAACATGATCTAGGAAATAATAATATGACAAATATATTTTTCTCTAAAAAGGAAGATTTGTAAAGGCATTTTTATTGTCTTATTTTGTTTTATGAAAATTTTAGTAAAGAAAGTATATCGCTTCTAAGGGAAAATTGAATGATCAGCACTGTTAGGATTCTGAAATTGGAGGCTCTTAAATAGACTGTCCAGAGGAATTCACATCTGATATGGGGTCCCTTCTCTTACAGTGAGGTTTTTAAAAATATTTTACTGAGTTTTTGTGCATTTCATATAGTAGTTCTTTATCAGATTTAAATGCACTTCCCCATCCATGCCCCCCATAGCATACACACACACAGACACACACACACACACACCTGATTTCATGCATTCTGTGAATTTTGAAGAGGTCATTAAATCTAATTTAAAATTGAGATGCTCACTGAAAATTGGAACAAAAGACTCTAAAAAGCAGAAATTAGATTATAAAAGTATACAGCATGTCATTGCTTTTTTGTTTTTTATGGTTTTCTTTTTTGTGGGTTTTTCTTGTTTGTTTTGTTTGTTTTTGAGACAGGATCTTTCTCTGTAACCAAAGCTGTCCTGGAATTGGTGATCACCTGTCTCAGGTTCTGCAGTGCTGTGATTGAGGCTGTGAGCCACTATGCCCAGTTACTACTTTTTCTTAATTTAATAGATACATGAGAACCATTCATAATACTCTGGTATCATATGATGATTCTGTGCACGTACACAATGCCCAAAATTTCAATCAGGTTGAGCCCATAAACATTTAGTGTTTATTTGCTGTCAAGATGTCCACTGTCCTTTTTTCTTGCTTTTTCCAGTAAACAGTACATAATTACCATCTGTGGCTCTCTTACAGAAGAGAGCACACTGAACTCTTATCCAGATATAACTCAGCCCACACTGGGCTGTTATCCCACCCTCTACCAGATTTTCCAACCACCATTATATCTTCATGGTAAAATTTTGGGCCATTTAAAATTTACCTTTACATTCCTTTGGGGTTTTTTTCATGTTTTTCAACTACATTTTTGTATGTATGACTATGATTTTAAAATATTTTACTATGTTTATAGCTGCATAATAATAAGTACCATAAAATATTTATTGATTCCAAAGAAGATTAGATTTGCAAATACAAAGATGTTATCAAGGATTATTTTCATTTTCATTTTTGTATCCCGGGATTCTGAGTGACTTTGCTTTTTTTTTAAAAAAAAAAAACTGTTTTGTGTTTTCCATTTTTTTCAATAGTAAAACACTTATCCATCATAAATAAAAAAATCATAAACATTAGAAACATCTATGTGTGGCTCTGGGGTATTAAGATTTCAGTTATTCCTAAAACATATAGCATTTGAAAGAGATTGTTCAAAAGTTCCAAGTAATTAATTTAAAAAGCATAGTAACTGTAACTCACAATATAAAATATAAAACAGCCATTCCCAAACTGAGATCACACAATAACTACTCCTTGTTTATCTCCATCCATACAGTTCCCCAAACTGTAGTACTTTGAGGAAAGATTGTAGGAAGTAAGGGGCTACAATGTCCCTGCCCTTCAGTGACCCTGTCCCTAACTGATCATACCCCCGAATAGCAATAATTGTAGACCTCTGTAGTAAGTTCAGCTAATATGAATAATAAGGTTTCCCCAGTTCATGAGAACATCTCTCAGGGTCCCTTGATGTTTGTACGTAGCTGTTGGTTAGGGTTCTTTATGGCTCATGCTTTTCATGTTCATTTTTCTCATTATGCATACCATTTTTTACAGTGTCTTAGTTTAAATGTTTATTGCTGTGATAAAAATACCCTGAAAAAGGCAACTTAAGAAAGGATTTGTTTGCCTCACAATTCCAGATCAGAGCCTGTCATAGTGGGGTAGTAAGCGGCAAGAGCCTGAGAAAACTGGTCCCATGACTTCCATGTCAGAAAGCGTATTAAGGAACGTGTGCCGGTGCGCACACATTTTCTTCATTCTCATACAATCCAGTGTCTTAGGCCAAAAGAGTGGTGCCACCCGCAGGGGGCAGGCCTTCCAATCTCCAGGTAATCAAGATGGTCTGTAACAGACATTCTCAGAGACTAATTTGAATCTAGACAGTCTCTCACAGATGGGCCCAAAGGCTTGCTTCCTGGTGTCAAATTGACAATACTAACCATCAACAGACACTTTTTATTGTAATTCAGTGTGTTAAGATAGTTTACAAAATATTTTTTTTCAAATAGGATTCTCTCTTCTAACGTAATTTGTCCATTTGTCTCATGATAAAGATTCCTGGATGGCAAGCTCCTCGATATCAGCAAAGACTTTCAGCCATATTATGGGGAAGGAGGACGCATTCTAGAGATCCGGACTCCAGAGGCAGTGACAAGCATCAAGAAGCGAGGAGAAAGCTTGGGGTACACGGAAGGGGCCTTGCTGGCCTTGGCCTTCATCATCATCCTCTGCTGCATCCCGGCCATCTTGGTCGTCTTAGTCAGCTACAGACAGTGAGTATCTAGAAAGGCATTCAGAAAGCTCCCTGGTAAAGCAGCTTCATTATCGCAAAATGTTATTGGTACATATGGAGCTTTCCAGCCTGTACATAATCACCTTCCTCAAGGGGAAACAACACATACTTCCTGTACATTTCTCACAGAGGGCTGAGTGATCCTGTGCACCTAATAAGTTCTCGCTCACAGGGGTATTATCTCCTGTAGCTTTATGCATTCCTTTCTGTGGGTAAAGACCGCCCCCCAGGGGGAAAAAGCTTAGGTCTGTAAACAGCAGTGTAAGGTCTGTAACTTGGTTACATTTCCTGTTTTATTTATTTATTTTTCAAAATCAAAGCAGATACATTGACCTCCATCCAGACAATATACTGTCAGCAGAGTCATCCTAAAGTCCCAGCATTCCACCTGTGATTTTTGACATTTCTTTCTTTCCGAACACCCTTGTTAGAGCCTATTATATTTAAGTGTATTACATAAAAATTCATATTTTACCTGAGTAGAATCTTACTTTTACTTTTTGCTACAGTAAAACACACTCCTTTGCAATGTGTATATTTAAAATTATTTAGGAACTTCAAAGTAGTCAAGTAATTCAAGTGTTTGAAGTGTCTGTAATTGAGGAAAGTTAGGAATACACTGGGCCTGACACGAACCGTGAGAAATTGGTGATAAGGGCTACACATCTTAAATATACTCCTACTGAGAATGGTTTAGAAAAACAACGGAGAGCTGATTAAGAAGAGGAATAGCCCAGAGAGAGCCATAAAAAGTAAATAATAGACAATTATCATAAATCATATAAATTGCTTGACATAGAAAACTATAAGAAATAATGGTAGACTGGCTATTCATCTTTAAAATGCACATAGGGAAGTACTAAAGTGCTCCTTATATATTTTTCACTGATATCTTTCTTTTCAAATACTGATATTTTTTCTTTTGAATACAGTGACTTAATTCTAACCCAAAATTCTCAAGGAATGTGCCATGTGAGGATTTTGGATGGATATTTTCATCATAAGGCCATGTGGACTTGAAAACATAACATTGACATTGATAGCTTAATGTTTCCTTAACAAATTAATGACTAAATTAAATATAAAGCTATGGACAAACAAGACTGGAAAGTCACTTTAAATCATTAAGCCACCAATATATTATTAACTTCCACATTTATTTTATAGCCTTCCTTATCTTTCATCATTCAACTATTTCCTAAAAGAGTTATATATATATTCTGATATCAATAGCATCAATAGTCTCCAACCAAGTAAACAAACAAGTCATTATAAACATTAGGTCATCAAGTTTCCATTTTCTTTTATATTTGAAAGTCCCAAGTCTGTGTTTTGATCCAGTTTTTCTAATTCCATTCAGTTAATTTTTTATTTCCTTATGGGAAATGTTTTAATAACTTGTACACCTGCAACAGTAATAATGGGACGTTCCCCATTCACTCACTAAATTGAAATATTGAAATACTTTCTTTCACTGTCATTATGTCATTGTGAGCTTAGCCAGTTAAAATTGCTCATGATTTAGAACAAATCAGTGTTACAGAACTATTAGTGTAATATTTCTAATGTAGCTTTCTTTTTTTCTTACTGCTTTCTAAAACAGATTTAAAGTGTAAGTATAATTACAAATATTTTTTGCATGATTTTATGTAGTAGATTGAAAAATCACAGATTCTATTGACTAAGTATTCTTGTCCAAAACTGAATTATTTGCTTAGCACTTATAACAGTTCCCTGTTTGGTTTTGAGCAGTGTGTGTGTGTGTGTGTGTGTGTGTGTGTGTGTGTGTGTGTGTGTATACATATGATTTTACGTTTTACACAATCAAATGCAACAATTATATGAATTATACACTGTGTTCTTACCATTTCTGCAATTGGATGCCTTGTTTGTTTTCTCTATTAAATTGATTTTAATATTCAGTATTCACTCTAATTATCAAGGTTTTCCCACAATGAATTTATTTAAAAAAATTTTTATTGATCTGTTGTATGCTTCATGTAACAGTTCTTAATCAAATTTAGACCCTTTCCTCCATTCATGCCCCCACACCCCCCACACTGGCCCTCATGCTTCTGCCATGCGTGTTAATTCCTATCCCATCAGGCATTTGTACCCAGATGTGCCTTCTGTGCTAATTCATCTTGGGAGTCTAGTCAGCCCATCTGGAGATCACATGTAAGGTCTACTCACCTTCACCCAGTAGTATCAGTCTCCAGCAGTTCCCACTATCCGTTTCCCTCACTCCACTCTGGGCCCTTGTCTGGTGGCGATGGCCTGAGCTTTGTGCTCAGTGCCACCATTGCCGCAAGTTCACATGTGCAGCGTCCACTGCCCTAAAAGCCTGTTTCCCTATGCTCATGAACCAATGCTGCTATTACAACCTTTCCACCCCCTCTTCCACGACGATACCTGAGCTGTGGGTAGGTGAGTTGTATTATAGGAGTCCTATCTAGGGACACACACTCTGCAGTCCTTATTCTTTAAAACTTGGCCAGTTGTGGACCGCTGTGTGCATCACACTCTGTAATATAAGGAAGCTTCACTGGTCAGAGTTGTGAGCCCACAAGTTTCCTCTCTATCACTTTTCAACTATATTCCATGACCCTTAGGTGTAGGAGTGCCCCTGCATCTAGGACTGACAGTTTTCAGACCTATATTCTCTGTGTGTGACCAGTTGTGGAACTCTGCAGTAGCCTCCATCTGTTGGAAAAAAAGAAAGTTTATTTGATGAGTGGTGTCCAGTAGACTTGTCTGTAAATCTAAGGATCCACATTTCACATACAGCAAGATACTTCATTTGTCTAGAGATATGACAGAGGTAGGATTGTCTCTAGGATCTATCGCCTCTCGACCTGTGTATTTGGCTGCTTTTACAGTGCCACCCAGGAGACTAATCCCATTGAGAGGACTTTAAGTCCAATTAGATAGCTGGTGATTGCTCTCCAGATAACAGTGCCACCATTGAACCAATAGAAGTAATTTTCTGTGCCAGTCATTATGGTTATTAAGTTTTAGGGCTGTGTTGGACTGCTGACTGACTTTCTCCCTTAGCAGTTTGCATAGTGTCCTCTAGAACTATGAGTGGGAAACCAGTAGAAGGCTTCCAGGTCAGTTCCTGCTTCATTGCTCAAAATCCTGTGTCTGAAGTATGTCCTGTTTGGAGGACTAGGGTTGTATCTTTGGCGTATCTTTATTTCTTCTTTTGAAAACTCTCTGTTCAGTTCCTTAGCCCATCTTTTAATTGGGTTACTTTTTTTCTTGATACTTTTTTTTGGAGTTCATTATATATTCTGCATGTTAAACCTCTGCCAGATGTGTCGGTGGTGAAGATTTTCTCCCATTCTGTGGGTTTTCTCTTCACTTCCTTGGTTGCTTCTTTTGATGTACAGAAGCATTTTAGTTTAATGAGGTCCCATTTGTTGATTCTTGACCTTGTTTCCTGGGCAATTGATGTCCTGTTCAGAAAATCCTTTCCTACACCTATATCTTGTAGGCTATTGCCAAGGTTTTCTTCTAATAGTTTCAGAGTTTCAGGCTTCACATTGAGGTCTTTGATCCATTTGGAGTTGACTTTTGTGCAAGGTTAAAGATAGGGGGTTAGTTTCATTCTCGTACAGATGGAGATCCAGCTTTGTCAACACCATTTGCTGAACATGCTGTCTTTCCTCCAGTGAATGTTCTTAGCTCCTTTGTCAAATATCAGGTGGCTGAAATTAAATGTAATCATATTTGGGTCTTCAATTTTGTTCATTGAGCTATGGGTCTTTTTGTGCCAGTACCATGTTGTTTTTATTAGTATAGATCTGTAATACAATTTAATATATGGTATAGTAATCCTCCAAGCATTGCTCTTAGTGCTCAGGGTTGCTTTGGCTATATGAGGACTTTTGTGCTTCCATATGAATCTTAGGATGTTTTTTTTTCCCAATTCTGTGATAAACATCATGGGGATTTTGATTGGCATTGCACTGAATATATAAATGGCTTTTGGTAGGATGGTCATTTTCACAATATTAATTCTTCCAATCCATTAGCATAGGAGTTCCTTTCATCTTCTGATGTCTTCCTCAATCTCTTTCTTTAGGGATTTAAACTTTTCATTGTAGAGGCCTTTAATGTTTTTGGTCAGGTTTATTCCCAGATATTTTATTATTTTCTTTTTTTGCAGCTACTGTGAAGGTGAGTGTTTCAATGTACTCTTTCTCTGATTGCTTGTTATTGGTATATAGAAAGGCTACAGACTTTTGTAAATTTACTTTTTAACCTGCCACTTTACTGAATGTGTTAACAATTTCTAGGAGTTTTCTGGTGGAATTTTTGGTATTTCATAGATACAATATCATATCATCTATAAAAAGGGATAATTTGATCTCTTCTTTTCCAATTATTACTCCTTTAATTTCTTTCTCTTGTCTTATTGCTCTTGCAAG